AAAACCTTTTGAACCACACCCAAAAAACACCAAAACCTTCACCTTCTGAACCATCTTCTTCAACCTTCAATCCACCCCTTTAAACCCAAAACTTCCACTTAAACTGCAAACAGAGAAAACGAATCAAAGATGAAAGGAGAATAAAGTGTGAAACGCAAACCAAAACAAAGCGAATCAAACACAAACCCGAACAATGAAGCAGATTGAGACAGAGGCGAGAGAGATCGAATCAGACTGGAAAGGAAATGATGAATTTTTTCTCTCTTCCATTTTTCTTCACGAGTCGTACTCTGTTTTGCCATCATGATTTTGTTTTGAAGCTGATGCTTTTGTAAGTGTTGGACTTTGAGGTCCATTTGTTTTTTCTCACACACACCTTCTATTATTCTTCACACACCCACTATATTTTACTTGGATTGGATCCACTATTATCTTGTTTTGGATGATGGACTCCTAATCCCATATGATTCTCATGTACACAGACCCCAGATTTCAGTGCTACACCTCCTCCCTCCTCTCATTTCTTTTTTGTTTTTCTTAATCTTCTTCTTTTATTTTTTTTATTTTTTTTATTTTCATTATTTTATTTCTATTTTCTTAAAACTCTTTTCCTTTATTATTTTGTAGAGATATTTCTTAATGTATTTTCTTATTCTTTTTTATTTTCGATCTTTGATTTCTTTTATTTCTTATCTTAGTTTGTTTCATCTAAAAACATTTTTCTATTATTCTTTTTCTACTTTATTGTTTTTATCACTTTAATATCATTTTCTTATATTCCACTCTACTTCTTATCTTGTCTATCATTTCAATTTTCATTTTTTATTTTTGGTCGGTGAGATCTAATAATAAGGATTATTGGTCTGTCAAAAAGTTTGAATCTTCATTATGTCAAATTTATGGCTGAATGATCATTTGGATCATTCTCCACACTTTGGAATAATAATAGGTTACCTTTGATTAATCGATCGGAAATTCTTATCAAAGACGAGACCGTTCTCTTTCACTGTTCCATCATATGCACTTTTCTCACTTACTTGATCATCATCATATACTTATGCATCTTCATTATATTGTCATCTAACTACTTCATTTGCTTCTCATCTTATGAAAAATACAAAAACATTATAAAACAAAAACCCTAAAAATATTTGTGACTACTCTTTGTTTACTATTTAGTTTAGAACACTTGCATACATACAAATTTCTCTTGGGCTATCTGACAACGACCCAATTTATTTCTTGTATTTAATATTCCCTTGTATTTTTCATATACCCCGCTCCCTCTTGGATGTACTTCATTTATTTTCTTACTTTGTGTGGTTGTGGTTACGTACTAGTATCACCTTTAGGGACTAGGATCGACCAAACCCTTTTGCAATCCCTTGATCCAACATCAAGTGGCTCCCTACCCGCTCTTGTAAGCCGATTGTCTTGTGCATCACCACTGACCTTACCCTTTACCCTTAAGACCTTTTTTCCCTTAGCTCAAACCCTTGCACCTTGAATAAACCCTTGATCCAACGTTAAATGACATTTTCTAAGTCAAATTAATAAACTTAATCATACTTAGACTTTTTTCAATAAAAGATGAAAAAAGAGCGGGGTGTAGTCAACGTCTCCCCGAGAATGAGGATCTGAGATGTAGTTTTTGCGATTCAAGCACTCGTCATCCTAAAAATCAACAACAAACCATAGTTGCCTGAACAACGATTGGTCTGACTTCCGTATTGCACTATGAAAATATGTAGGCACGAGATTGTGAAGATCTTGGCGAGCACCCTAGGAAAATAAACCATCCAGTCCTTATTCTCTTTCCTTCATAATAACCCGAGAAGCCTAACATTTATAAGCAAACACTAACACATACACCTAACCTAATGATTTCCCTTGAGTACAACGGATGTGAGAGATGCTAGTACCTTCCCTCTTGGAAGTTTATTTATTCCCACAAAAACCCTAAAAATATATGTGACTACTCTTTGTTTACTATTTAATTTAGAACACTTGCACACATACGACTTTCTCTTGAGCTACCTGACAGCGACCCCATTTATTTCTTGCATTCAATACTCCCTTGTATTTTTCATATACCCCGCTCCCTCTTGGATGTACTTCATTTATTTTCTTGCTTTGTGTGGTTGTGGTTATGTACTAGTTGCACCCTTAGGGACTAGGATCGACCAAACCATTTCGCAAGCCCTTGATCCAACATCAAGTGGCTCCCTACCCACTCTTGTAAGCCGATTGCCTTGTGCATCACCACTGATCTTACCCTTTACCCTTAAGACCTCCTTTCCCTTAGTTCAAACCCTTGCACCTTGAATAAACCCTTGATCCAACGTCAAATGGTATTTTCTATGTCAAATTAATCAACTTAGTCATACTTAGACACCTTTTCAATAAAAGATGAAAAAGAAGCTGGGTGTAGTCAACGTCTCCCCAAGAATGACGATCCGAGATGTAGTTTTTGCAATTTGAGCTCTAGTTATCCTAAAAATCACCAACAAACCGTAGTTTTCCGAACTATGACTGCTCTGACTTTCTCATTGCACTATAAGGATAGGTAGGCATGAGATTGCGAAGATCTTGGCGAGTACCTTTGGAAAATAACCATCTAGTCCTTATTCTCTTTTCTTCCTAATAACTCGAGAAGCCTAAAATTTCTAAGAAAACATTAACACGTACATTTAATCTAATGGTTCCCGTTGAGTACAACGGACGTGAGGGGTGCTAATACCTTTCCTTTACGTAACCGATTCCCGAGCTCAGACTTTTGGTTGCGATGACCATGTCTTTTCCTTTCGTTTAGGGGTTTTATCGATATTCTCTTTTTTCCCTTATGGGAATAAATAAAGTTCGGTGACGACTCTGTTAGTCCATCTCGCGAGCGTGCGATTGCGCTTCGCGAGGCCGTCTCTCATTTTTCGAGGTACGACAAAGGGGTATTATTATAAATTCACCTAGAATTCTTTTTCCTCATGAGTATAATTCTTCCTTAGGAAGCTTGTTTGTGTTTGGAGCTAAACCTCTTTAAAATGTTTTCTTTGGGGGGGGGGGGTAGTGTTAATCTCTGTTTGTTTCGCGATTTCATCCAATTTAGAAAAAGCTATCCTCTTATGTTTGTGAAGAATGACCAGAGAAAAGTATTCACATCATTACTTGAACTTAGCTCAACAGAAAAGCTCAATTAGTTCAAGATCAGTTCGATATAAAATCTCAGTTTAGTTCGTGGTCAACCAAGTATAAAACCTCGACTCGATTTGGGGGATAGTCAGTTCAAAACTCCATCTTGGTTCGAGATAAGTTTGTATAAAATATTTGTTTGAATTAAAGACTAACCGCTCGAAGCTATCTTCGTTATTTGGCGCAAAGACTAACCACTTAAACCCACTGTTCGATGTTTAATTGCAACTAAATCTGAAACTTTACTTTTCCTTGTATAAGGGAGTTTGTGGGGTTAACTTTTTAAAAGCTCTCAAGCATTACTCAATACTCTCAAGATTAATTCTTAGGGAGGATAGTAGGTCTCTTATTTTAGACCGAACCTCTATAAATCTCTGGTGTTATATCTCTTCCTTTAACTTTTTACTTTCTGCTACATATCCAATCATTTTGTTTGAAATTGTTTTTTAAACTTTGATTTAGAAAATAAGTTTGTTTCAAGCAAAAGTTTTTCAACCCCCACAATTCACCCTTTTTTGTGTAGATTCACATGTTCAACGAGAGCAAAAGAAGAATGCTGGACTTTGAGACTTAGAAGAATGAGCAATCGAACATGCAAGACTGGTGCCAATGAACAAGATCATCTAAACTTGATCAAATGTTAGAATAAGAGTGCTCTTAGGAATGAATGATAAAGAATGTATAAAGATTCTTTTTCAGGCCGATAGCAGAAGAAAAAGTAAAAAAAGATGCTTCAAAAGCCTTATACATTTTGTTCAAATGTTAGGATCATATGATCCTCTACGCACCACTAACAACTGATATTTTCTATAAAAAATTATTCAGAAAACACTCAAGTACTCTAAAGAAGAAGAAACATCACTATTGACTAGTGTAGGCAATGTCTTACCAAAAGCTTCCACGTTCATGGATTTTGTGGACGATTAAGAATATGTGTAACAAACTCTCGCTCGGCAAAGCAAAAACAAAGATTTGGGGGTAACTATTTTAAGTCGTTTGCAAGACCCAAAAGACAAGAGCACAAAAACGAAGCAGCGAAGCGCTGAATGTAGAATAAATAGACTATTTTCTCCCACTAAGCAAATAATCCCTTACACGAACACCCTGCCAACCGTTCATATTAATCTGACAACTAATCGTAGTCAACGCCTTGCCACACACATTCAATTGTTAACTATTTTGTCTATTTAAATAGAAAAGCACGTTACTTCTTAAGTATTCAAATCCTTCTATCATTTTTTACTCTTATAGAGCGTTGGAGTGCTAAATTTAGTAAATCAACTCATTTCCACACATCAAAAGCTCGAGCCAACTCCAACAAACTACTCGTTTTCACTTTTCGATCAATTCTAGGTCTATTACCGAACATAAGACTTAAAAAGAGATAAGATTTTTTATTTAATATTTTCAGAAAAATATTAAAAAGAAATTTGCTTAACATTTTCAGCAAAATAAGAGAGAGAATTTTTTTTTGTCGTATATTATAAAAGAATTCTAGTTAATAATGGGTTTATAATCTCAACTACTAAATAAATAGATTAATATATTTATGATTTTAGGTGGGAAATCCTCTTGTCCATCTTAAATGCCACCCACTTGTAAGTTCTATGGGGAAATTCTATGCGTTAGTCAAGAAGGCATAAAACTTGAAATAAAATTTTACAACTTTATCAAACAAAATCCTTGCTAGCTATTAACACACAAATAAAAGCCATTATAAAGAGTATTATTGTTGAACTTGAATTTACACTTTCTATACACTTATGACTTAAAATTCTGATGACTATCAACAACAGCATCAATCTTTATTCTTTTCAAGATCCAACAAGACCTTTGCGTCGAGCATAAGATACTATTGACAAAAAGAATGATCCACAAGCCATTCCCGTAAGAATCACCACCTAAAGTTGAAATTTCAAACCAAAAAATGAAAATCAGAATAGAAAAAATTACTTATTTTCGAAGAATCATATGCGTTAAAAAAACTCAACAAAATTTCTAAAAATTTAAGACGACTCTGATACATACCCATTTAAATACATATCCGTGCCCTTCTCTCCATGTATATGGAATATTCATACCAAATATCGCAGCCACCAGTGAATATATTGATAAACAAACAGTCCCAGAACTTAAGAACAATTCTAGCTGCATTGTCATTCAGAATAAGGATATAAAAAACTGCCATGGTTTTTTTAATAAATAAAGTATTGCTTAATTATACCTGAATCAGTTGATTTCGATGATTATCAAGCTGCACATATTATAATTACAAAGTGTTGTTAATACTTATTCTATAAATTAATGGTTTACAAATTTTCTGGACCATGAAACTTACTTGTATGTTGATGTAATCTTCTGTATCGTCGATATATTCTCGCACCTAAAGTGTAAACCACGAACGAAATTATGATCAAGTAAGAAAGATTACATGTAAATGCGGTTTAGTTCATCATTGTTATTACCGTGGTTAATTTATTTAATGTACCATCAATTTGTATGAAATAGGCCTGCAAAGAACAACGTTTTTCAGTTTAATGCACCATTGCGGGAAAGTTAGGAATGGAAAAAGTAAAATGAAGAATTTATAACCTCTAGTAACATTTCAAGTTCTTCAACATCATTTTCGCCGTGAAGTGTTGCTGCGCTTCCTCTGCTTGATCGGTGTATTTTCGAACCTTGATTTGGACTGTAATGCCAATTGGGACCATCAGAGCTACTCGGCGAGGGAGAGGATGAAACAGATAACTTTCTTGATAAGTAAAGTTCAGCCATGTCGTCGTCGTCATCAAGTAGATTTTCTAGTTCCTCTCTTATCTACAAAACAGTACTTAAATTGGAAAATAACACATTCATTCATTTGGATTACAATTTTATATATAAAGAAACATACCTTATGAACACGATTCGTCAACCTAGTCATCGCACTTTTTAGTTTCCGCACTTTATCCAAATTACGACTACTAATCTGTTACACAAATGTGAATCAACCAGAGTGAAATTTTAAGGGTAGAATGAGAGAAAAGTATAGTCTATGATGAAACACCGACACAGACACGGATATCAGACAAGCCACAAACGCAGACACAAATTGATCACCTTAGAAGTTAGTTCATCCAAAGCTGGATAAACATTAGTCTCCAACTCTCTTGTCCTTGCATCAAGGAAACTACAAGTTGCCTCTAATACAACTTCCAACGCCCGAAACTCAAATGGAAATTCTACAACACAAACAAACACATAGATAATTCTTGTATGGTCACAACTACACATTCAAATTATTCGTCTATTTCAATAAAAATCACTTTCCTTTCTATATTTCCTTATTTACGTGTTGAAAGATCGATCACGCAGAATAAAATAAAATACAAATCTCCACCGATACAATGTATTTTCTTTTCCACAAACAAAACAAAACAAAACTTACCATCTTCTTCTCCACCGTCTTGCGCACACGACTCTTCTTCTCCTTGTCCTTGACCACCAGCACTTACTTTCACCGGTAACCTTCTTCGAAGCTCTTCAACAACCGGCACAACGTCCTCATCCATTGGGTCTCTAACCAAAACTTCTTCAGCAGTGATAATAGCTTTTATATGCTGCAAAAAAAATGGTTGGCTTGAAAGTTGAAACAAAGAGTGTTTTGATTTTGATGGGTTAGTTACCTCTAGATTAAGAACAATGACTTTCTCTCTGCCAAGAATGGTAGAAGGATAAGAAAGAAGAGGATCCATAATTCGAAGATCTCTTGCGTGAATTTCAACCAGACGCATGATAGCATACTTATCCACATCAAGTACCATGTCTCTTCCATCACGGTCAAGTAAAATCCAGCTTCTTGAAATTGCGGTTTTCTTGTTGTTTATAGCTTGAAGTTTAAGCTCCATTTCAGAACCAGCAAGCGCCATTTGAGAGAAGAATAATTGTTATTTGTGGGGTGTGGATTAATTTGGAGAGAAAGAAGGTTTTGTGTATAGTGATAAAAGAAGAGGATGAGAGAGAGAAAAGAAGAGAGTGAAAGCAATGATATTAAGATGTTTTGTTTGTTGATGAATTGAGTTGGTGTTTGATAGGTTTGTGGGGTAAAAAGAAAGACAGAATGACAGTGTTTAACATGGTGGGTTTGAACTTTGGAAGTAATATGACATGATACATACGTTTGAGGAAATTCATGGTTGCAAAACTTTGCACACTTCTTTAAAATCTTTATTTTAATTACTATATTACAATAATCATAGTATGGGTGGAAATTCATGGATGTACACTTTAAACTTTTTAGAAATAAATAATAATAATTTAATGTTAGTGTTAGTGATGAGTGTTTAAGCATTAGATGATGGGTCTTGTACACTAAATTGTTAGAAAAATAAAGTTTTAAGACAAGATCTACTATTAAAATACATGTCAAGAAAATCTCAACATTTGAATAAAACAAAATTTGGTTAGAAAGATACACTAAGATATATGATCATATTTTATATATATATATATATATATATATATATATATATATATATATATATATATATATATATGATTTCAGCGAAATATTCTTAAACTTAAATTCGTATTATGAGAGTTTGCAATGATGTATTTTACATTTTAGATCAAGTACATTTTTAAGACTATTGAAAGATTTTTTTTTTAAATAATCGATTTTTAAAAAAACTACAAAAATAATAAATATTTCAAAATTTTTATCAAAGTAACTAACTTTAAAAAAAAATTTGTCACGTAAAGGACATGCCACTGCAAGTGGCGCATGCACTTTGATTTAGCCTTAGACGTCATTGCATCTGGCACATGTTTAGTATCATTGAATGACAATGACGCATACATGCAAGCAATGTTTTAAAAATCGGATCCACCATCAATCCAGTGAAGGTACTGAATCGTTGGTTTATTGATCGAACCACTAAGTCACTGGTGAATCGCATGACTAAATCGGATAACTCGGCTAAATAAACCGGTCTCTATAAAAAACTATATATTTAATAAATTCGTCAAACCGGATGACTCGGTCTCTAGAAAATATCGCGACACCTACAAAACTTTAAAATATCATAATTTCACAAGTTCATTCTTTAAATTCAAACTCTTGACGTAGTCATCATGCACGACAAAATAGTAGAAAATACAAATCCAAATAAATTTTGAACAATATCTGATTACAAATGAAGAAAAAAATTTCCAAAAAAGTCTACTTATATTTTAATTTTATTTTAAAAAAATTAAATTATCAAAACGGCGTTGTTAGTATGAAGAAAAAAAATGCATGCATTTAAACCGCCAGTTTTTCAAAATCACAAATTCACCAGTTTTTAGCGGTTTTGACCAGTTCTGGTCGGTTTCTACTAGTTCAATAGCATATCCGATCCAGCAATCAGACCAGACCGGTAACCTCTCTAGTTCCCGGTTCGACCGGCCGATTCACTCTGATTTTAAAAACACTGCATGGAAGCATTAGGAGTATGCACCATTCCTCATAACTCTTATGTTGTATTGTTTTTTTAATAAATAGGTCATTTTTTCCCCACCATTTACTACCCATCTTCTAATACTCTTCTTAAATTTTTCTTCAAAATGTCTTATATCATCAAAAGAAATGTTAGTTTGATTTATTCGGTAGTAAAGCCTCCGATGAAGATTCGACTTTGGAACACTGAGACTTTCGAGCATTTTGAGAGGAGTTTGATCCGTTGGTTAAAAGAAGACATTGGAGACAGTGAAAAAATCAAAAAATTGAAATACTTGTTATAGTGTTCAACAATAATGAAAAACATCATGTCTAGGAGTCAGATAAGCATCCAAACTGTTAGACGGTGGCACAGATCTAGAAGGGGGGTTGAATAGATCCCTTATTTAAAAAATGAGTCGGCGCTACCAATAAAATTGGTTTTTAAAAATTGTTTAATTTGCGGAAGCGACCGTGGAAAAATACCGTCTATAACGAACGGTTACTAGAAAATCGGATATGCGTTTTAGCCGATGGAATTCGGATAACGAGTAATGAAAATCACTAGGCTAGTCACACTATCAATTTAATTAAGATCACTACTTGGTATGACTAGTTCCAATGCCTTAAAATGCCAACAAAATAAATGGACAGCACACAAGGATTTTGGTTCAGACAATTTATCAAACACTTGTCGTGCGGAGCACTTCAAGTGAGTTCCGCTTTAAGTGAGTTGCTCTAGTTTCCTTGTACAATCAACGATTATACTAGATTCAAAATCAGTTCAACACTTACTCAAAACAGTCCTAAATTTGATATAATTGTTTGTACGAAAATCACAAATATTAAGCAAATGTAAAAGCGTAAGGTAAAAGGCACAAGGATTTATTGAGGCAGTTCCCTTGCCGTCCTCGCTTCGGGGTACGTCTGCCCTCAATTCTAACAATAGATTTGAGCTCTTATAATATAAATTTAACCTGTTGTAGAATCGTATATACAAGAATGAAATAGCAATCAAACAAACGAACTCCTTTGTTATTGTAGAAGCTATCTCCTCTTGTCCCTTGATTCGAGTCGAATCAAGTCCTTCGACAGCTTGTGTATGAACCTCCGATTACAGCTCTATGTTTGAACAACCTTCCATCTTCAAACCCCAGCCCGACTGATCTCAAACACTCGTGTGCCGAACCCGAACTTCTCCTTCATAATTCTTCGATTACCGCTACTATACCGATGGAACCCACCGCTCCTCGATCACCTTCATTCGGCCGAATATATGTTGAGAAGACTTGTCCAAAAACCCTCAAATTCATAGAATCTTGGAGGACAAAACCCTAGAGGTTTTGTTCAAGAAAAACCTGTCAAATCTTCAACCCGAACCGGATTACCCAATCACGGCTTCGAACGTTATCACCTTAGACAATCCATAATGCACAACAAAGACTATTGTGTGTGATTGTTGTGGTATGAAATGTAGAAGATGAGAACTTAAATTGACACCTCTTTTACTTTTCTTGTTTTTGTAATTGATTCAATTTATGATGAAATGAATAGAGCAACTGAATATTTATACCAGACAAAACTGTTATAACTGATAAAACCAACTTTCAAAAATAATAGACAACTAAAAAAATATGCAGCAAACAGCGAGCGGTCGACCCATGCAGAGTGCAGGGTCGACCTGAGCTAACCGAAGCAACATATTGTGCAAAACACACAACTATGCGTCGAACGGAACAAGGCATGCGTCGACGCAAAGCCTGAATTTTTTGACAAATGCAAATGACAACAGTATGCGTCGACCGGTAGGTCGACCATACCTAACCCGAGAAAATTGCATTTCTAGGACACTTGCCATGAGTCGACCGGATCAGAGTTTAGGTCGACTCAAAGACCTGAAACATCAAAAAATGCCTAAATTCATTTTTTTTTATTCTCTTAGATGAAAGCTATGATAGACCAATTGAGTTTGACTCGTATGACGCATATTTTGACAGCTCTAAATGTAGTACTCGAGATATTTAGTGCAAGCAAATAAACATGAGAAATAAGGTATGTTTATGCATCATGGTGATAACGCCAAATGACTATTCTTCCATGCAGCTCGGTTTTGACATCACCGAAACACGCATATCAAGTATCTGAGGCTTTGCCCTCACATACTCCCCCTTTTTGATGATGGCAAAACACGTATAACCTGTCTGCATGATATCCGGCATTATCCTTCCCCTTGCTTGATGCCTTCATTCTCACTTATTCATTTGCATTAAATGCGACGTCTTCATGTTTGATCTTTATGGTTCTACTAAACAGCTACTAAACAACTTGACACTTTCTCCCCCTTTGACAACATCAAAAAGAAAGAAATTTCTGTTAAGAAATGATAAAACAATAACAGATGCTCATATCAAACCATGCACAACAGGATAAACATTAATAATTCTCCACACATGACAAAGTTAACGATCAAGGAATAAAGAGATAATTAGCACCATACATAGCCAAAAACAATAATTGTTGCTAGATACTGCAAACAAGGAATGAAATATAGGTTCATGATGCAAGACATTTACACATGAGAAATGTACTTAATACATAGCCAAAGATTCATAACAACACAACAAGATGATGAAATGCAATTATACATAATGTATAGCCTTCAAGGTCTCCTCCCCCTGAAATGTTGGCCTTTCCCATGATACGGATACGGCGGAGGTAGTTGAGCCTCGACCCTTTCAGTAAACTCCAAAACCGCTCGGTTTAAGGTATTGAAGCTTGTGGCAAGAGCGCGGCGCTGATTTGCAGTTGTTCCCACCAGATCATCGAACCATTGATTGACATTAGAGAAGAATGAGTTAAAGTTTTCAATATGCGTCTCATATTGACTCTGAAGTTGTGATAGACGCTCATCCTGAGCATTGATGAAAGCACGCTGTTCTAATTGCATACTCCTGAGCAGACCCGATTCAATTTCAAATTTGAAGACATATTTGTGAGTCGACCGGACCTTATTTAGGTTGACTCATGCAGTTAAAACTAGCAAAAATTGACATTTTTGATCATATGGGAAAACATAAAGACATAGATAAACAACCAAACCATATTTTAAGCATTCAAATAGGTAACATACATATAATATGACATATATGACAAATGGAACACATAATTTGATATATTTTGTGAACATGAGTATCGAGAGAGAGATTTAGGTGAGGAAAGATATTACCTCAATTCCAAATATAGCTAGATGAACACACACATATACTTTCAACATCTTCAATTGTTAGATATCCGAAAATCAAAGTACATGTAGACATAGATATATATGATGTGTAAGAAATTTGACTAAATACGATCCGAAATATCGAGAATACCTAGTTCTCGTCGGATATGAAAGAAAGGCTTAGTAGCAAGAGGTTTTGTGAAAATATCAGCTAGTTGATTTTTAGTATC